ATTCCATTTAACCCCAGTAAGAATGGCTATTATCAAGAAGTTAGAATATTTTGATGAGTTAACACACTTATAATATTCAAATGATGGAAGTAAACAAAAAAGGGATACGGATGAATGTTCATTTTGTATCTGTGTATTCAAAATGGTTAGGATGGATATAGAGTTACATTCTCTTAATGAATAGATGGATTTGTTCTAATAGTGTTTGTAAATAGGATATCATGTCTGCATCTTGTACAACAAATAACCACTAGGAAGAGAGTATGCAATGTGTTAAGTATTGAAACTGTCATACCAATTTGGTTTGAAACTGTCTCATTGCTATTTGTCTCTCAATAAAATTATGGGAAAAAAAAAAAAAAAGAAGTTAACCGATAACAAATGCTGGAGGGATTGCGAGGAAAAAAGAACCCTTCTCTGCTGTTGGTAGGAGTGTAGACTGGTACAACCACTACGGAGATCAGTGTGGAGATTCTTCAGAAAAACAGAATTAGAAGTGCCACTCAACCCAGCTGTCCCCTTCCTGGGTATTTTCCCAGAAGAACTGAAAACATCATACCACAGTGATATATGTGTACCCATGTTTATATCAGCACCACTTGTCCCAGCTAAATCTTGGAAACAACCCACATGCCCATCAACTGAGGAATGGATAAAAACGATGTGGCCTTTTTATATAATAGAGTATTACTCAGCTTAAAAAAAATACACTTGAGGCTTTTATAGGTAAATGGATCCACTAATACTCTAAATAAAAGCTGTTCAGTTCTCCACCTTGGGGCTTCTCGTGAAAGTCTCCCTAAATCTGAGCCCTCTTGGTTACGATGGCCCCTTTGAGCCTCTCAGTGATTGAATTTAGTGTGATCTCCAAGTATTCATGCTTGATGCCACCATGGTCACACGCCATCACAAGGATTTCCAGATGCAAAAGGAAAAGCAGTGGTTATGTGAAAGGGAATGCCAGGAAGCCCAAAGTAATAACTCATGGAAACAAAAGAGAAAACAGTTGGTAATTATTGTACTGCACTGTATCACCATTTTAAGATAAGTGTAAAACTAAAAGTAGTATTTTTCTGTATTTGAGGTTTTTTTAAAAAAAACTTTACATTGTATTTTTGTGACAAAGGTTTACAAGACTCATCTTGCCAGATTTATGAATGAATCCAACTTACCAACTTTCTCCCAGCACTGAACTCATTCATAAATTGAGGACTTATTGTCAACTCCTTCCCTGTGGTTACAATCTGATGAGATGAACTGGTATGCAATATGGACCTGTATTAGCATCTGACTTTGGTTCTTTCACATATATGTGTTTCTCTTGATTTTATGAGTGTTTCTACTAAAAGATATTACTGTTGAACAGTGTGACAACAGAGGAACAGAAGACAAAAAATAATTCAAGTTTTCTTTTTAATGTGAGGGTAATTCAAACAAATTAAAGACCTTATGAATGTTTTTTGAGAAATAACAATTTTAGGTAGGCAATTGTGAGGAAGATGATCATCATACAAGCCAAAGCCACATGATTCTGCCACAAGCCCCAAGAGGAGAGCTCGATGCCCTGATTTGTCAAATATTGTTCTCCAGTACATCTAAAATTAAAAGAAAAAACAAAACTTCATTCCTACCACAGATTCAGTTAAAAGCCTAGAGGTAAATTAATCATTAATAATTATCCCTTCAAAAATAATAACAGTCTATTATTTTACTATATTCTATACTAATCAACTTGTACCTGATGCATTAATCCATGAAACAATCCAAAGGAGTATAGACATTACATACATTTTTAAAATTTAGCAAAGGTAGGATTCATGAACTTGGCCAATTCTACAGTCATAATATGAACCAAATTGCAAGCCTCATATTCATTCAGTAATCAATCTATAATGCTGTGCTCTTCAAAGGAAAATTTTTTCAAGTAACTTTTCACTGATTTCCTTACAGAGAAAACCTCAGTTTTAAACAATAACACCTTGAGGGACTTGTGAAGATGATCAAATCTCCTAGTAGCTGTGCTCATCCGTAAGAAAGGTATCCAGAAATAGCTCAGTAGATTAAAGCACCTGCAAGCAGGTGCAGGGGCCGGGGCTAAATCCCTAGGCCTGATATGCCAGCCCTGCTCCCGGGGATGGGTGCACTGAGATGCTAATTGAGACTGGGTGTGGCAGCGCATGCCTGTAACCCCAGCACTTGGGAGGCTGTAAACAGGAGAATCACTACAAGATCGATCTAGTAGTGAGACCCTGAACACCCTGTAGACCCTTTCCTAAAATACAGAAAAAAAAAAAGGAAAGAAAGAAAGCTATCTAGGACACAAGCTAAGAATTCAGAAACTACCACCACTTCTGTGAATCTCTTAGAAGTTAGCAATTTTAAAAATAGCCATGGGATTTCATAGAAAGAAAACTTTCTCCTTTCTCTTGTAAAGCCCAGCTGTAAGTGATTATGAACCCCATGGTGACTCCTTATCTGGTGCATTTTTCCTGCTCACTCCCTCCTGACCAGCAGACTTGCAGCGAGTTAGTGTTATTGCATACACCAAAGCAAAACAGAAAAAGAATGGTCAGAAACCTCTCTTCACAGAGGTCTTCCTATCAACAATACAAAACAGAAATTTATCCTACACATTATTGACAGCTATTTCTATGCTACTGGAGAGATTTAGGATATTAGAATTTTCTTTTCTCTTTATGTGTCAAAACCAAAGTAGTAAAAACAATTGTAGAAAAGGAAACTTAAAATCTTAAAATAAGAACATCCAATTTTATTAAAACCTGCAACTGTTTTAATATGAGAGAATACATCCTATAACTGAGTATTCTAAATCAACACACCAACTGTGCAGGCTGTGCTCTCAGGGTGCCCCCATAGGCAGAGCAAAGTACCATGATCCTAGTGGGATAGTCTTCACTTCCTCCCTGCTACTGTTGTCTTTCTAGTTCTTACTACTGTGCACAGGCAGCATTTAATCCAAATGTTCAGAAATCATACTCTCTTATAAAACTATCAAAGCATTCCCTTTCAAACTCAATTGTTCCAAAAGATCAGAACTCCAACTTCTAATCAAAAAGTATCCAAAGCTGCTTTTCATGGCCCAGAGCAGTGAAGAAACACACAATGCATTTTTCAATATTAAATAAAACTTGACTGTAGTAAAATAAAGGAATTGTACAGCATGTTCATGTACCTTAGTGCACAATAGTGTTACAGATCAGAAAACAAGCTCAGTAAGTTATACTGATCTGAAAGGACTCATACCAGTCCTCTGCCCAGCACCTTTCTACTTTATACTTGCACATGCATTATGACACCAAATGCGAACTTACATTGTATAACTGTTGTCACAGTCGTCATTTTGTGTTGTATTGAGTCCTGGACAGAAGTTTTGCCCCAAAAATTCATTATGCTGCAAAGCCTGTGACACAAGCAGGGGCCTGGTTAAGGTAAACAGCCCTAAGTTTCTAAATATTTTCAAAGAATAATCACAATTACATCCTTAAATTTAATTCTTATTATTATTTTTAAAACATACTGTTTTACATTTACAGTCTGTACCAAAATAACTAACAAGTTCCATGGCAATCACAAGGACTTGGATAACGCTTCTAATATAAGAGGCAAAATATTTGGCTAGAACAGCAAACCCCTGGCTATATCATTCCAAAGCTCCTTTATTTTCTTCTAAGTTTTATTGTTTTTTCAAAGTATTTTTATAGTGTTGGGTAATAAATCCAAGTCTCATGCCTGCTTGGCAAGTGCATGCTGTCCCACATCTCTAGTGCAGTTTGATGTGGTATGGTTTGATTTGGTTTGAGACAGTGCCTTTTAAGCTAGCCCTGAAGTCATGATCCTCCTACCTCAGCCTCCCAAGTGGTTTCAGTTACAGGTTCATGCCATCATATCCAACTTTTCTCTCCAATTTTTTTTTTTATGAGCAGAATATATTTATTGAGGGAAAGAAAGCTCCTATCTGAGAGAGGGACAGGAGGGGGGCCCGAGCAGGTCATTCCCCCTTCTGTGCAATTTTATAATGCCATAATCACTAAAATTAAAGTGACTGAGCTTCTCATAAATATTACTTCATGGCAATGATTTTTTGCTCTTATTTCTTTCATCAAAACCAGTTATAACTATGAGAGTTAGAAATTCAGTTACACTGTGTTAAGACACAAAGAACTTCTGCTAGAGTTAAACTTGTTCAAGCCAATATGGTTAACAGTAATATATGCTTTTTGTTCTTCTAATGTTTCTCTCAATAAAGATTATGATTTCTAGTCTCCTATGCTCTCAGGCATTTTCTTACAGATCCAAACAATTCATTTTTCATCAATTAGTCAATCTAAATCCTTTAACTGTGGGATTCCTCCCTACTCTTCATCTCCTTCAATAGATTGAAAGGGAAAACACCCCGGCCTCAAGAAAACAAAGGCTAATAGGGTATTCTTATCTATTGCTTGTGAGAGGACATTCCCAGACAATAGACTATAGCTCAGGGGCAGGGAAACAGTGTGGTCAGGACCTATTTTCATTGCTCCCAGCCTGGATCCCAGGCACAATGGAATGGCCAATGAGGACAACTCACTGTAAAGCCATATCGAGGAATGCTGAAGTACTGAAGCCAGGAGAGCCAAGGACCAATGGTTTTGAGATTTACCAACAGACCTGAAAAGAGCTAGAAACAATAAAAGTTCACAATCAGAACGAGTCAAGTGATTTCACGAATTCCTCTTTAGGAACCCTATAACCTTCTAAACATTTCTGCTATGACAAGTACTTTCTTGAAATTCCTTCCACCTCCAAATACTAATCTTCTCCTTTGTATGTGAATACCTCTGCACAGCTTAGACTAGGAAAATAAATCTATTCTCTACATTGCATATCTCATTTACCTAAAAGGTCAAGTCCATGTCCCCAACTTTCTCTGTCACTGAACACAATGGAAGATTAAAATGTAGTCTTTCCCCAGTATCCAAGAAAATTGGTTCTAGGACTCCAAACTGATACCAAAATCTGCAAATGATCAAGTCTCTTATGTTTAAAATGGTATAGTATTTACATGTAATCCTTGCATATTCTTTATGCTCTAAATACATATATCTTGTATGTTGAAATTTATTTTGACATTGTTTATTGATAGGTTCTCGGCACAGCAGAGATACCGGCAGAAGGAGAAAGGGAAAGGGCTTTATTTTCCTTGAGGATATGGACAGAATTCGGGGAGGTCAAAGAATTCTTTGGACTGGACAAAGAAAGGCTGAGGCTTTTATGACCTTTTGCCAAGGGAAGGATTTGAAGGGCATGTTTAGATATACCTGAGGAACTGACTGGGGATCTTCCCTGAGATGGGAGGTTAAAAGCAAATTATGTCCTGGGCTAAGTTGGAGAAGAAGGGAGGAGGGCATATAAGATGACAACCATAATGATTTTAGCAATTCATACTAGGGCCCCAACCTATCATTTATAAAGAACACAACATAAAAGTTAAATAAATAATTGTGCTATACTCTCTAGGGTAAATAAAAAAGTTTGTGCAGTCATGTTTGTCATTTATTTATATGCATGGCTGATTGAATCTTTAGATACAGAATCCATGCATACCATGGGTAAACTGTACTGACTACACTGATTATACAGCTGCTGTTTCCCCTAATAAATGGAGCAATCTAAGAATAGACTTAACAGTCCTGAGCACAACACTCCCCTCTCGACTTCCATATAACAAGATGAGTTGTCTGCAAGGGTTTTTCCACTCTGTATCTGTGACCTTAGGACTACTACAGAGTTCAGAATGAAGACTTGTAAGTCAAAGTCTAGAACTGATATTGTGGTAAAGTACAGCAGAAACTGCGGTATATACCTTAACTTAAAGCACTTTTCCATTGGAGATGCCAGGAAGGACATTCAAGATGAGCAAGGGGCAGCCATGAAGCTCACATAAAGCTTGCCCCACCTGGGACGAACTTGTACTGGGATTTGCAAAACAATGGCAATGCTCTTGGTGCACCTACATACGCTGAGATTTGACCTAACCAACTGCCCAGTATACAAACAAAAAAAGTTTTATAACTGGTTTTACAAGTTCTACAGAGAAATCTTTACATAGGAAAGCATCAAACAAGTTAAAACTTTCCATTTATTGAAGATTATTTTATTGATTGATGATGGTATAGAATATATAAAGAAAACAGCATTTTCTTAGTGATTTCTACATTGGCAGTTATTGAATTCAAATTGAAGATTTTAAACTTAAGGAAAGTGTGTGTAAATTAAGGAGTATTAAAAGATCTGTGGTAATGTGTTCCATTCATTTGAAGATTCACCTACATTGAATATCGAACAATAGAACTAAGCAAAAGAAAAACAGAAATATTTGATGTAAGAGACTCTTAGGAACCAAGAAAGGAGATGAACTAGTACTGTGGACTTCAAAAATTTCCAGTATTTTTAAAACACTACTTTTCTTTTTTTCCATAATTTTATTGATAAACAAATAGCAATGAGACAGTTTCAAATCAAATTGATAGGACAATTTCAATAATTAACACATTGCATGCATTCCTCCCAGTGGCTAATTGCTGCACAAGATGCGGACATGATATCCTATCTACAAACACCATTAGAACAAATCACTCTATTCATTAAGAGAATGTAACTATATATCTATCCTAACCACCTTGAATATACAGATACAAAATGGACATTCATCTGTATCCCCTTTTTTTGTTAAGTTCTGTTATTTGAATATTACAGGTGTGTTAATTCAGCAAAATAATCTAAAAGAGTTCAGTAGTCTATAATAGTATTGGGTCTTCCACCTCACTGGCAATGTCAGAAATTGTTGACCTGAGTCCCCTACAGCTCAACATAACAGCATGGCTTTACTTCTTATATTTTGTTTTTATACTTTTCTGCTAG